AAAAAAAAAAAAAAAAAAAGAAAGGCTGAGCCCGGTGGCAAATGCCTGTAATCCTAGCACTTTGGGAGGCTGAAGCCCTCGGGTCATGAGATCAGGAGTTCAAGACCGGCCTGGCCACCATGGTGAAACCTTGTCTCTACAACTACAAAAGTTAGCTGGGTGTGGTAGTGTGCGTCTGTAATCCCAGCTCCCAGCTGCTCAGGAGGCTGAGGCAGGAGTGTCGCTTGAACCTGGGAGGCGGAGATTGCAGTGAGCCGAGATGGGGCCACTGCGCTCCAGCCTGGGCGACAGAGCGAGGCTCTGTGGAAGCACTAGCAAGGGGACCCTTGGAGGAATGGGAGTCTCGTGAGCCCGCTCTGCAACCTGGGAAGCTGAGGCACAGCTGAGCTCCCAACAGAGGCACATACGGCAGCCTCCGCAGACACCCACACCATCCCCCACGGGAGCAGGCCAGCATCTCCAGGCTCTGTTGCTTTCACTTCTCTCCTCACAGACGGGAACAGAGAAGCCGCCCAGGCAGGAAGCCACGCACCCACAGGTTGGCAGGAAGAGCAGTTAGTCAAAGACCTGTGGGCTCGGGGGCCACACTTCACAACCTGCACCATCAGATTCACACATAAGCAAACGGACCCATCCAATGACTAGGAGATGGCCAGCCTCATGCCTGTAATCCTAGTGCTTTGGGAGGCCGAGGCAGGAGGATCGATTGAGGCCAGGAGTTCAAGACCAGCCTGGCCAACATAGTGAAACCCCATCCCTACCAAAAAAAAAAAAAAAAAAAATTAGCTGGGCGTGGTGGCGCATACCTGTGGTCCTCGCTACTCGATCAGCCTGGCCAACATGGTGAAACCCCATCTCTACCAACAAGGTAAAAATTTGGCCGGGCACAGTGGCTCACGCCTGTAATCCCAGCACTTTGGGAGGCCGAGGTGGGTGGATTACTTGATGTCAGGAGTTTGAGACCAGCCTGGCCAACGTGGTGAAACCCTGTCTCTACTAAAAACACAAAAGTTAGCAGCTGTGGTGGTGGGTGCCTGAGAACTACTTGAACCCAGGAGGCAGAGGTTGCCGTAAGCTAAGATCGAGCCATTGCACTCCAGCCTGGGAAACAGAGCAAGACTCCTTCTCAATTGGAAAAAAAAAGGCTACTACTAACAATCATCACTGCTGACAATCACGGGTTTCTACCCAGCAAAATAGGCCACAGGTAAAACCAAAAGTCAAACAATAAATGTCGGAGGAGGATGTCAGGAGTCCAAAACTGATATCATTAAGGCCTAAGTTCTCTAATATGTAAAAAGCTCTAACAAATCAATAAGCCACTGTCCAATGCAAAGTAGGCAAAGGATAGGACATGAGGGTTCACAAAACAGGAAAAGCACTGCCGTGTCCTGGCAAGGTGGCTTGTGCACGCATGCCCCTTGACCCAGCAGTTCCATTTTGGGCACTGATCCCAGATAAACCCTCAGGCATCCTTGAGACAGGGCCACAAGCTTGTCATAGCAATGGTGTTCGTAACAGCAACAGCTCAGCCACACCCTAAAGGTCCAGGAAATCACCTACTCAACCTCCCCAGCTGAGCCCCGCACCGTGGAACAAAGGGGTCCAGGCTGCTTCATGTTGACTGATATGGGGTGAGCCTCTCTATACAGAGGTGAGGATAGAAATCAGGAGCAGAACAGGGGAGGAGGTGAGCTGTCCTCACGTGCACAAAAGTGGGCAGATGTGTTTGCTGGTATGTGGTGGAAGGATCTGGGAGGGTGCATTTCACCAGACCCTGTTAACATAAGGTGCAAACAAACAAAAACCAGGCAGCATAGTGAGTGCACGAGAAATTGGCCGGGAATGATGGCTGGTGCCTGCAGATCCAGCACCTCAGGAGGCTGAGGTGAGAGGGTCATTTGGGCCCAGGAAGTCAAGTCTGCAGTGCGGTATGACTGCATCACTGTACTCAAGCCTGGGCGACAGAGGGAGACCCTATCTCAAAAAAAAAA